CCTTTGTAATTAATACAGAATCTTGAGGGAGAAACTTTGAAACTATGCATTCAAGCTTCCATCAAGTAGGTTTTTTTTTTCCTGTGTTGTTCTTATTGTGGTAAAATGTACATAACACAAAATTTACCATCTTAGGGCTCCTGTCCGGCTTAGCTGGCAGAGCATGCAACTCTTGATCTCAGGGTTGTAAGTTCAAGCTCCATGGTGGGTGTAGAGATTACTTAAAAATAAAATCTTGGCGCACCTAGGTGGCTCAGTTGGTTAAGTGTCCGACTCATGATTTCAGGTCAGGTCATGACCTCTGGGTCTGTGCTCAGCATGGAGTCTGCTTAAGTTTCTCTCTCCCTCTCCCTCTGCCCCTCCTCCTGCTCATGCTCTCTCTCTAATAAATAAATACATCTTTTTTAAAAAATAAAATCTTTATAAGTAAATCTTTAAAAATAAAATCTTTATTGATTATATATTTATAAAATATTTATATATTTATTTGTTATGAATAATACTATGACTAAATAAATAAATAAATAAAATTTACAATTTTAGTCATTTATAAGTATATAGTTCGGTGGCATCCACTACATTCATACCATTGGGCAACCGCTGCCATTATCCATCTCTTGAACTTTTCCTCCAGCTTTATCAAGTTATAATTGCATAACATTGGTTAAGCGACTGCCTTTGGCTTGGGTCATGATCCCGGAGTCCCTGGATGGAGTCCCACGTCCGGCTCCCTGCTGAGCGGGGAGTCTGCTTCTCCCTCTGACCCTACTCCCTCTTGTGCTCTCTCTCTCTCAAACAAATAAAATGAAACTTAAAAAAAAATTATAATTGCATAACATTGTGTGAGTTCAAGGTAGACAACATGTTGATCTGATATTCATATATTGCAAATGATTATCACCACAGCTAACACCCCCATCATGCCGTCAATGAATTTTTTTTTTTTTTTTAGATTTTATTTATTTATTTGACAGAGAGAGAGAGAGACTGCGAGAGAGGGAACACAAGCAGGGGGAGTGGGAGAGGGAGAAGCAGACTTCCCGCTGAGCAGGGAGCCCGATGGGGGACTCGATCCCAGAACCCTGGGATCATGACCTGAGCCGAAGGCAGATGCTTAAACGACTGAGCCGCCCAGGCGCCCCGTGCCGTCAATGAATTATCAATAAACATTGATAATTCTTGCCTGAATCTATCACTATGATGACTGCAACTGGTCATTTTTTTAAAGATTTATTTATTTGAGAGAGAGAGGTGGGGGGAGGGGCAGAGGGAGAGAGAATCTCAAGCACAGAGCCCTAGGCATGGGGCTTGACCTCACAATGCTGATATCCCAACCTGAGCAGAAAACCAAGGGTAGGATGCTCAACGGACTGTACCACCCAGGCGCCCCCAAATGGTCATTTTCTAAATGATCCTTCCTCCTATGGTAGTGTTCTACTGTAAAGAAGCTTCTTCCCTTTTATGGAAAAATATTCCCATTTATGTGTTTTTATGCATTGTCAGAATGGATGCCCATGGATTCTTACTTTATTCGATGTGGAGTCCTTGTTGTCCTCATTCATTTGATGCACAGTTGTCCCCTACTTGGCCAGTGGGGCCACCCCCCCATTCAATTTGGCTCGTGTCCTTTTGACACACCCTCATCATTTTGTGATCATTTTTTGCCATAACAAGACATTCCAGATTCACCTTGTACTTTCCTGGCCCTTGCCCTGGAATCAGCCAGTCCTCCAAGGAGCCCTGGGTCCTTGGAATAGTATTAGAGACCAATATCTGGGCTCTAAGGAATTTTAAGGAAAACACTCTGGGCTGGTGGCTCTGCCTTTGGTGATTCTGGCCACCAGGTGGCAGTACTTCCCAGAAAAATGCAAAAGACCCAGAATCTGGGCGCCGTGGGGAGAGCGGGGGCTGGACTGGCCAGGCTCCTTGATGGGGTTGTCTTTGGTCCTCTTTCAGGAGGGGACACACAAACTTACCAGCACTTCATGTGCATACTCTCCTCCATCCTCCTCTCCGCCTCCCCCAATACATGCCACACACCCCCTCACCAATTTCTTCATGTCTTATTTTTTATTTGTTTGTAAACTCTAAGCCCAACGTGGGGCTTAAACCCACATGCTCCACCAACTGCGCCAGCCAGGCGGTCCATGTCCTTTTATCCTGAAGCCTTCTAGGAGGGGTTAGCCCCAGGGCACAGAGGGAGAGGGGATGGATCCCAAGGCTTCAAGGAGGCCCTCATTTCCAGGGCCCAGCCCACCCCACTCTTTTTCCAGCACAGTCCACAAACACAGCTGTGGGCTACAAGCATGGAGAGGCCCCTTCCTAAGACAGAGTGTCTCCAACTAGCTGTTCTTTGGGGCCGCGGGCCCCAGCTGGCTCCCTCCCCCTGGAAGGGGTAAGTTAAAAAGAAAACCACAGGGGCGCCTGGGTGGCTCAGAATGGTTAAGCGTCTGCCTTCGGCTCAGGTCGTGATCCCAGGGTCCTGGGATCGAGCCCCACATCGGGCTCCCTGCTCTGCAGGAGGCCAGCTTCTCCCTCTCCCACTCCCCCTGCTTGTGTTCCTGCTCTCGCTGTCTCTCTCTCTGTCAAATAAATAAAATCTTAAAAAAAAAAAAGATGTATTTATTTATTTTATAGAGAGAGGGAGAAAGAGTGCATGGGAGGGAGGGGCAGAGGGAGAGGGAGAGAAGCAGACTCCCTGCTAAGCGCAGAGCTGGACTCAGGGACTCAATCCTAGGACCCTGAGATCATGACCTGAGTTGCAATCAAGAGTCAGACACCTAACTGACTGAACCACCCAGGCACCCCAGAAATGTAACCTTTAACCAGCCAACATAGGAATTTCCTGCTCTAGGGTCAGCACTAGGAAGTTTACTGAAAGATCCCTTCCATTCCCCTTAGGAGGGCAAACTTGCCTAAAACAATGAATTCTTTCTAATGATTTCCTTTGTTCTACTCCCTGTTTTTAATTTTTTAAAGATTTTAATTATTTATTTGAGAGAAAGAGAGAGAGCTCGAGCATGAGCAGGGGGAGAGGCAGAGCGACAAGCCAACTCCCCACTGACCACAGTGCCTGACTCAGAACCTGATCCCAGGACCCTGAGATCATGACCCAAGCCAAAGTCAGACGCTTAGCCTGCTGAGCCACCCAGGTGCCCCTCCCTCTCTATTTTTAAAAAACCTTTCATTTCCTGTGGCCCTTTGTGCTGCCTGATTCATGAACCAAATAATGAAGCCAATTAGCTCTTTAAAATTTCCTGGGTTGGGACGCCTGGCTCGTTCCGTCAGTGGAGCATGTGATTCTTGATCTTGGGGTTGTGAGTTTGAGTCCCACGTTGGGTATGGAGATTACTTAAATATAAAATCTTTGGGGCACCCAGGTGGCTCAGTCGGCTAAGCATCCGACTTGGTTTTGGCTCAGGTCATGGTCTCGTGGGTGGTGGGATCCAGCCCCTCATCAGTCTCCACACTCAGAGGGGAGTCCGCTTGAGATTCTCTCTCCCTCTGCCCCTCTCCTCCCCTCCACGCGTGTGCATGGGCACGAGTGCTCTCTTTCTCATAAATAAATAAATCTTTAAGAGATAAACTAAAAAATAAAATAAAATATTTAAGTGCTCGCTTCAGGAGCACATACACTTAAAATTGGAGTAATACAGAGAAGATTAGCATGGCCCCTGCACAAGGATGACACGAAAATTCGTGAAGCGTTCCATATTTTAAAAAATAAATAAATAAAATCTTTTTAAAAAATAGTAATAAAATTTACTGGGTTGAATTTTTGTTATCTAACACAGGGAACCCAGAGGGAAGGGTTTCCCGCAGGGGTGGGTTACCCAGGTGAGCTTGGAGCTGCTTCTCTGAGCTGGCTGCCTCCACCCCCCACACCGCCCCCCCCACCCACCCCTGTTGGTTAAGTCAAAGGAAGTTGTGGGGGTGGTTATTTTCCCACAAGTAAACTAGAGTACATATTAAAAAAAATACACCCTTCCCCCACAAAAAGACCCAAGAGACCGTTCAAGCAACTTAAATCTAAGGTTTGATTACTTCAGAAGCAAGCATTTGCAAGTGAGTCCACACTTCCGTCCCTAGGAATTAGGTGCCATTAATTTTTTATTTTTATTTTTAAGTACTCTTCACACCCATCGTAGGCTCGAACTCAAGACCCCAAGATCAAGAGTCGCACACTCCACCAACTGAGCCAGCCAGGCGCCCTGGTGCTGTTAATTTTTGTAGTTCTCCGTTGCTTTCTGGCATAGTCAATGTAAATGTCGACCCTGCCAGTCCTTCTTCACCTCTCCCACCAGGACTGGTACAGTAGCCACCTGACCCTCCTCTCTGGTCCTACCCCTTCCCAGCCAGAGACCCCCAGCCCCCTAAACTGCCACTTTCACCCCCCGGGGAACTGAGGCTCCAGCACCTCTGAGCTCCCAGGCTTTCTCCCAAGCCCGCCCAATCCCCTCTCTTCCCCTCTGTTCACACGGCCACCTCTACCTAAACTGACCTCCCCTCCTACCTCCGGGAAAATTGGGCAATGACCCCTAAAATTCCCTGGTCTCCTAATGAGGCCTCCTCCTGTTTTCTCACTTGGAATGAGCTCCCTGCCTCCCCTGATCCATCCTCCCCACCCTCCAATCAGTCTTTCTCCCCATCTCCCCCACTGACCTGGCCCGCTCTTAACTCCCTCGCTGGGCTGGCAAAGGGCTGACACACGGGAGTGGAAGCAGGGAAGGGGCAAGACGGTATGACTGAATGGGCTGCCCGCCCATGCTTGTCAGACTGACCTCGAACACAAATCACTCGGGAAGAGAGCAGAACACCAGATTCTGACTCGGTAGGTCTGGGGTGGGGCCGAGAGTCTGCAGTTCTAACAAGCTCCCAGGTGATGCGAAGCTGCTAGATCGGGGACTGGCCCACTGATTGGTTGGGGAAGGGAGGCGGGTGGGAGCCCAGGTGCAGGTGGCATCATCCAGGGTATAAGACCGCTGGGTGGTGGCTGCACAGGGGTTACCAGGGTGAGTGACTAGAGGAGCCATGGGGCTGAGCCATGGGCTCTTCATCTGCTTTCTGCTCTTGGGAGGCGCGGAGCTGTGCTATCTCCAGACCACTTCTCAGCGTGAGACCTACTACTCATTGCCACCTAGGCCCCCCGTGGTGGTGGAGTGTCTGGAGGCCCAGCTGGTGGTCACTGTCAGCAAAAACCTTTTTGGTACTGGGAAGCTCGTCAGACCTGCAGACCTCACCCTGGGTCCAGAGAACTGTGAACCCCTGGTCTCTATGGACGCGGATGATGTGGTCAGGTTTGAGGTCGGGCTGCACGAGTGCGGCAACGGGGTGCAGGTGAGACTTGGCCCCCTTGGTGGCCATGGGGAGTGTGGATGCTGGGCCAGAGCCCTTTCATTTGCTGGGGACAGGGAGCAGCTGAGGCCTGAAGCCGGGATTGGCAACTTGTGGTGGTTGAAAGTGCTTGCCTCTAGTGGCCGGAATCAGGTAGACGGGGTAGAGGCCAGAGAAGGCATCCTCCACTCTGATTCCTGAGGATTTGTGAACCCCTGGAGGGCAACAAGGAGAGATGTGGCTTTGAGGGAGGGGTCAAAGGGCGTCACGATCACCTCTGTTAACTTCAAGGCACAAACGGGAGCCCTGGGGGTAGTTCCAAGTAGGGGGGTGGGGACACTTAATGTGGGAGGCAGGTACTGAAGAGCTAAGTAATTCAGGCTACAAGGAGGGGCTTCCAGTAAGGCAGGGCTGGACTGGGCACAGGACCCCTAGCTGGTCCACGGTTCCTTGGGCTACTTCCTGTCACCGCACAGCCCATCTTCTCCTTTGTCCTGGGCTCTTGCCCACCAGGCCCTGGACTCATGGCTCAGCTTGGCTAGGGTGGGGGCAAGCTCAGCACCTGGAGCCTTCCTGGGGCTCTAATCTTCCATGCTGCCCCCCACCCCCAGGGCTTACCCTGAGGCCTCCTGGCCCTTGTTTCCCCAGGAAGAGGACAGGGAGCCCAGAGAACCCCAAGAGTTGTTTGAAGAATCATTCTAGACTCTGGGCATTAGAACCACCCGGGGAGCATTTAAAAATCCTGATTCCCTTTTCCTGTGCTAAATCAGACGGGCTGTGGGAGCCAGCTAGCAGCACCCTTAAGGCCCCCAGGTGACTCCAATACGCACAACCTGGCCATGCCCTTTTCCAGGGTGGGGTGTGTCAATCCTGCCTGATAAGAATCGCCTGGGGCCAGGCCCTGTGCTGTCTCACCAGCTGCAGTTGGTTTAATGCCCTGAAATTCTGAACTTCTGAACAGGGTGACCCAAAAATGATGCTGCTGGTCCATCTGGGGCCCTAGCTAGTAGAAAGCTAGGACTCTTTCCTAAAGATGGAGCGGTTCAGGCATGGCCAGGCAGCAGCTCGGTCTCCTCCTGGGTGGCCCCTTGAAAGATGCAAGTATCTGGTATCACCTGCCTGAGTTCTTCCTGCCTCTGGCAACCACTGACCCAGTAACCCCTTCTGTGATGTGGGTATGAGAAGAAGTCAGAGAAGGAAGGGCAAATTGAGTCATAACCGTTGTGGCCATGAATTAAAGTTCCTGGAAACTTCTGGCTTCTTCAAGGTGGCTCTCTAGGTCCCAGGCTTTCCCTGCCCCCCCCCTTCCACCCCCAGAAGGAAACGGTGTTGGGATGGTGGCAGCCTGAGAAGGGGAGCACATACCCAACACCCCTGGTGGTTGGGCACCACTTGGGGCCTGACACAGAGCTGATCCAGACCCCCTGTGGTGGCGTCACAATTTCGGGGGGTGGTGGGAAACGGAGGTTCGAGGGTGGTACCTGTTCAGGCTTTCCCATGGGTCACCAGGAGGGTGGGCTTTGAGTCCAGGGTCTGGGTTCTCCCCACCTCGGGTGGGCTGCCCTCCCTGCACCCTTTCGTGGGCAGGTGATGCTGTTGGGATTAACCCCTCCCGTTCCATTCAGGTGACGGACAGTGCTCTGGTGTACAGCACCTTCCTGCTCCACAGCCCCCGTCCTGAGGGAAACCTGTCCATCCTGAGGACTAACCGCGCTGAGGTTCCCATCGAGTGCCGCTATCCCAGGTCAGTGTGGGACAGGGCCTGTTGCTGCACCTGGTGTAGAGGCCCCTCCCGGCATGGTCTGGCAGCTTGGCGGCTCTAAGTTGTGCGTACCTAGGTTGAGGTCACCGCCCTCCACTCCAGCGGGGAGTGGGGAGGCTGCTGAGTCTGCCCTGAGCCTCTGAAATGCACCCGGGCCGCAGCTGTCTCTTGGTGGAAGCTGCAGGGCTGCCCAGCCCAGGCCCGCCTTGAAGTTTGGAAAAACTGTGCAGGGGGAGGTTCTAGGCTTGGGCTATCACGGCCTACTTTTGGCCTCTGGCTTCCCCCGCAACATGCACGCAGGTGGGGGTGACCCCTCAAGCCTTAGCACCAAGCACGTGCCTGTGACCTTGGGCACTGGGGGCATGAGGAGGGGGTGACTATGGCTCATAGTGACAAGGCCACAATGCCGGGTCCTGTGTGTCTCAGCTGAGTGAAGAGTGCCCGGGCTGGGAGGAGGTAAGAGAGGTGGTGCTGATACCATGAGGGCATGGGCCTGGGGGAGGGGGCGGTTCATGGTAGAGGCTCCCAGAACAAGATCCTGGGAGGGTGCCTACGGAACAGGTGGGACTGAGATGGTCTGGGCAGAGCCACACACTCCCCAGGGGAGGGCAACATGCCACTAATAGGGGCGCAGCCCATGGGTCTGGAGCCCAGGGCCTGGTCAAGAAAGGGAAGGGAGACAGAGGGGTTCTAAAGGCCCAACCAGATCCAGAGAAGGGGTGCAGGCTCACACCTTAGCGGGCACTCCTCCCTAGAACCGAGCTGAATGGGTAAGGTTGGGTTTCTCAACCCAGAAGGGCCTCAGGCAGATGGAATCGGTGAGGCCAGCTGAGATGGTGTAGAATGAGTTCTGACCCACGGCAGCAGGGCTGGAGGGAGCTTGGAGCCTGACCTGGTTGGGTGGGGGAAGAGGGAAGAGCCAAGGGCAGGAAGGCCAGCCGCCCCTATACTTGCTCCAGGGGCCGAAGCCCTCCTGGGACCATGGCTGCCTTGCTTTAGAAGGTCTCTGCCTGGGACTGACCTGAGAACGTGGGCTTGCCTGGCCCGATGGTGGCAGGTGGTCCAGGGGGGCCTGCCCCAGGCTGGGATGCTCCATTCTAGCTCCAGTTCTCTGATGTGTCACCGACACAGCCTCTCCCGTGAGACCCGGTGAGGTCAGCAGGGCAGACCTCTGGAGGCCTCCCACTGCTTCCAAGGACCTTCCCGTCCTGGTATAGGCCCAGACAGTCCCTGAGGCCCTCAAGAACCAGAGGGGGTGCAGAGAGGACTGGCTGCCTCAGGCCTAAAATCTGAGCCTCTGGGGTTAACCCTGATAAGCCCATCTGGGTCTAGAGACCAAACTGCGAACTCGGGTGTATCCCATTTTCGTGCCTCAGCAATGTCCTCACAGCTGGAGGGAGGGGCCCACTCATAGGTGTGGGGTTCGGGAGGGTCAAGGGGGAGGCTCAGACTTTGGGTGTCTGTTCAGTGGCCTTAGACTCACTGCCTGGCTGGGCCCCAGCTGAGGTCTCTGCTGTGAGATAGGAATGAGAGACCCAACCCTTCCATTGAAGCCAGATGGGATGAGCTCAGGACAGGTGTAGACAGCTGCTCTGCTCCGTAGGCACAGCAACGTGAGCAGCCAGGCCATCCTGCCCACCTGGGTGCCCTTTAGGACCACGATGCTCTCAGAGGAGAAGCTGGTTTTCTCTCTCCACCTGATGGAGGGTAAGCAAGGAGGGCTGGGGTGGGGGGATGCTGGCAGGGAGAGCTCGGGTTGTCTCACCCCTGACTGTGTGCCTTTCAGAGGACTGGGGCTCTGAGAAACGGTCCCCCACCTTCCAGCTGGGAGACATCGCCCACCTCCAGGCCGAAGTTCACACTGGTAGCCACGTGCCACTGCGGCTGTTCGTGGACCACTGCTTGGCCACGCTGACACCCGACCGGAACGCCTCCCCTCATCACACCATTGTGGACTTCCACGGGTGAGGGCTGGGCCACTTCTCTAGGGAGCCCTTGTAACTACCTAACCTCCACCACCTTCCTCAGCCCCTGACTCCATTGTCCACTCCTTCTCTTCAAAGCTGTCTTGTGGACGGTCTTTCTGATACCTCTTCTGCCTTCAGAAGGCCCAGACCCAGGCCAGAGACTCTGCAGTTCACAGTAGACATGTTCCACTTTGCTAATGACTCCAGAAACACGGTAATTGACCTTTAAAAAATAACGGGGGCACCTGGCTGGCTAAGTCAGTGGAGCACGTGACACTTGGTCTCAGTGTTCTAAGTTCAAGCCCCAGGTTGGGTATGGAGCCTACTTCGGGGGTGGGGGAACTTAGAATAAGATTGAACTATAGGGTCAGGCTGACCGGGCTTACTGTCTGCTGTGGGTCACCAGGTATCTCCTTAAGCAACTTGATAGCTCTGTCCCCAGCCCAAAACTCTGAATTCAGCTGATAAAGCCATGGGTTCTAGTGAGATCTTTAAGGAAGAAGCATGGGTGGCACAAACCCTTAGAGGTAGGTAGGAAGCCCATGAAAGGTGGAGAGAATCCAGGGTCTTAGAAATAGAACCAGGAGTAGAGTTGATGGCTCAGATGAGAGGACCACCCACTGTGGCATCTGGTGGCCAGGTCACTAACCTGGTCTTTGCCACAGTGGGCAGGGCTGGAAGCCAGATGAAGGTTGAGTAAAGGGGTTGACAAAAACAGGTGTCAGCCTTCCTGGAAGCTTTCTGGAAGGGCAAGAATAGTAGGTACGAACTTCTTTTCCTACAGCATAGGGTCTTGAACTTGATCCTAGGCTAGACCGGGGACTTTTTGAAGCTTGAGTGCATCAGCAGCATCTGGAGGGTTTATTGACCTAGGTTGGGCCCCACCCCCAGGATTTGGTTTTAGTAGGTCTAGAAGAGAGCCCAGCCTCTGCATGGCTAACCAGAAAGTGCTGGTAGAATTTTACAAATAAAAATCAAATAGATCTTAAGTTTGCTGAACTAGGAGCAGGGGATGCAAAGTTTGGAATAGCTGCTCAGGAAGGGATCGTAGCAGGGATTTTTTTAAAATTATGGCTCTATACTATTCACCTGGAAAGGTCCTATAATCCCATATCTTTTCACTTAATTGGGGTGGGGACAGCATCCCTTTGCTAACATTTTATTATGGAAATTCTCCTGCGATGAAAGAATTTCACAGCAAATACCTATACACCTATCATCTAGATTTCTACCGTTAGACTAGTGAACAAATGACCATAAAATGTCTTTATTTGGAAATCATCAAAAGCTACTTAAGGTCCTATGGGGCTCTAATAAGCAGCTGGGTTTACAAACCACTAAACCAAAGGCTCCTATGGCTGAGGGGCATTAAGGGGCACAGTGAATTTGTAGATGACACTGAAGCTACCTCCCCATGCCCAGCAGTTCTGAGAACAGGAAGCTTGATACAGACTGGTCAATAAAAGGAGGGGTGTCACAAAGAACATGTTAGTGATTATCAGAAGGGAAACCTGTTGCGAGATGGGTAAAATGAACAAAGGGGGTCAAATGTATTTTGGTGGATGGTAACTAGACTTTTGGAGGTAATAGCTTTGTAATGAATGCAGATGTTGAGTTTATAATGTTGTACACCCGAAACTTATGTAATGTTATATACCAATTTTACCTCAATAATAAATAGATAGGTGATATAAACAGACAGACAGATTGGGCAGGGATAGGGATAATGACAAGGGTAGCCGGACCAACTATAAAAAAAAAAATAATAAAAAAAAATAAAAGGAGGGGTGTGAATCAAGGCTATTGGTGAGATGCCCTGAAACTCCAGATGGGTTGGATGGGGCTGCAGATAAAGAACAGACTGTGAGAAAGGGTCCTGATGACCCAGGTCAGTGACCTTGTGGGTCCTAGGGTAGAGGATCCTAGTTGGGGTAGGGAGTGCCACTGACCTCAGAGGTGACCTAGTGGGGAGGAGAAAGGGATAAGGTTTCATACGGGTGGTGGTTATCAGGACAGGTGCAACCTGAGCTGGTATCTGCATCTGTAGGGATTTTTTCGGGGATTGGGGTTGCCCACCAGAGACCAGAGGATGATGCTGATCAATGGAAGGTAGCCTGAGTTCTGGGAAGATTCTCCCTTAACAGTAAATGGGATGGTTTGGCTGACTCTGTCGAAGGCACAGAGAAGTAAACCTTTTATTCAAGAGGAACAGAGAACCATTGTAGAGTCTTAGGCCCCAGTTAACATCAAAAAATGTACTGGGAAGAAGCTTGAGGATAAAAGCAGTGCTATGCTGAAATAGGAATTCTGAGGGATCCCCAATTTCTCCTCTGCTGGGGCAGATAGAAGGCTGGTGGCCTGGGGCGCCTGGCTGGCTAAGTCAGCGGAGCATGTGACTCTTGATCTCGGGGTTGTGAGTTCAAGCCTCACGTTGGGTGTAGAGATTACTTCAAAATCTTTAAAACAAACAAACAAACAAAAAAAATGGTGGCTAGAAGTGTATCCTCCCTTGTTCAAATTGGCTTCCCTGCTGGTGCACTCAGCCACTAGGTGGTGGCCAAGGTTTGTGGCTCTGCAGAAGGCTCCGGAGAAGGTGGTAGAACTTCTATGCCCTTGTAGGGTTGGCAGGGGCTGCCAAAGCACTACCTGGAGTATGAAGGGGGGACCTCTGCCTGGGGATGCATCTGCCAAGATGACCAGGGCTGATGTGAACCCTGGCTCTGTATCAAAATTTCCCCTATCCCAGGTGGTACGGTGGTAAGGGATTGGAGAGTCTGGGAAAGATTGGGGGGGGAGTGTGGTATAAAGCTGGTGGGTTACAATCTAGAATCTGATCTGCCACTTCCTCAAATCTTGGGCAACTTCACCTCTGACCCTCTACTATCTCTAAAATGAACTCCTCCAAGGGTTCAGGTTAAAGAACTGGCTTACTCAAGTCCCTGGTACAGTTTAGGATTCCACCTCGTAACAGCTGCTCTTACTTCTAGATCTATATCACTTGTCATCTGAAGGTCACTCCGGCTGACCAAGTCCCGGACCAGCTAAACAAAGCCTGTTCCTTCATCAAGTCCACCAAGAGGTGAGGGAACAGGTTAGACATGGCTGGGGCAGGAAGCCTGACCGGCCTCCCTGGGCTCCGTTCCCCTAGGATGTACATCAGCAGCAGGCTGGTTCCTGAGGGCAACACGGCCATCCGATCTTCTTGTCTTCTCACCCCCCCCCCACCCCGCCCTGCTCAGGTGGTACCCTGTAGAAGGCACGGCTGACATCTGTCACTGTTGTAACAAAGGCAGCTGTGGCCTTCGAGGCCGTTCCAGGAGGCTGTCCCGCCTAGAGAGAAGGCAGCACAAGTCTGCTTCCCGAGCCCGGAGTCGAAGGCACGGTAGGTGTTAGGACCCCTCCAGGGCTCTTGCCCTCCCCTCCGTCTAGGGTACCTGCTGTCCCTGCAGGGTGACATTCCTCCTTGGTCCCCCACTCAAGGCTGCTCACCACTGGGGGAATGCGGTTTTGGGCTTTCTTACATAGAAGACTTGGGGGCTAATAGGGGACTCTAAACCCCCACCCCAGCATCAGCCAGGGGTTCAGAGTAGGGCGTGATCAGGAGTGTGGGGAGATAACGCAGCTTCTGGAACAACCTAGTTCAATCTGCTGAAACAGCATAAACCCTGTATCTGACGCCTGGTACAGGACTAAGGTGACCCTTAGGTGGCCTGTGTCTTTCAGTGACTGAAGAAGCAGAGATCACCGTGGGGCCTCTGATCTTCCTGGGAAAGGCTGGTGATCGTGGCGTGGAGGGGTCCGCCTCTCCTCACACCTCTGTGATGCTGGGCTTAGGCCTGGCCACGGTGGTATCCCTGACTCTGGCTACCATTGGCCTGGTCCTTGCCCGGAGGCACCATTCTGCTTCTCGCTCAGTGATATGCCCTGTGTCTGTTCCCCAATAAAGGAAGAAAGTGAGCTCTGGGGTGTGGTACAATGATGTCATATAGGGGTGAGGGGGATGTGGGGGCAGATGGGAGACCAGTGCTGTGGGCTCAAGGAGCCCCCTCCAGCACGGACTGCTGCATCTCTAGTGTGGGGTGGTCCGTCCACAGCAGAGAGGCCAGGCTGGGTTGTGAAGGCAAGCCTGCATTTTCCTTGGCTCTGGGCAACACGGCCTTCCTGGGAGAGGGGTTCATCTTCCCAGGCCACCATCCTCCCATGTCTCCAAGGAGGCCAAGGTGTCAGCTATCGGGGGCAAAAAAGCAGGGTGGGCCCTGCCAGCCCTGCTTCTGGGCTAGCAGAGGGTCTGGTGTGTCTCTGGACCCCGTGCATCTGAAATGCGGGTGGGGGCAGGGAGGAAAGGATAGAGTCGGCTTCTCTAGGGGGCAGCAGGCTCGAGGCCCAGAGGTGACCAGGTCCAGGGCAGGGGTCTGGACAGTGGTCACCTTGGGCCTGAGGCTGTTGTAGGGCAGCACGCCTGGGGTGTAAGGGTGAGTGGGAGTGTGCTGTGGCCAAGTCACTGACTCAGAGGTAGGGTCCTCAGAAGGGCTGAGCCCTGCTTGAAGCTTCCTGTCACTGGGGGGAGCTGCCTTCCTCTCCTAAGCCCCGGGGTGCCCAAGCAGCTTGTGGCCCCCTCTCCAGGGCAGGGGGTCTCCCGCTCCCTGACAGCTGTGACATCCCCATCCCGCCGGGGGGCTGTGGCCCTTAGCTGGCTCCAACCGCACCCCAGACCCCAACTCCTCCTCCTGATTGCGTGAAGGTCCCCTTCACTGGGAATCCCAGCCTTGCCAGTTACTTTCTGTGAGCCTGAGGCTCCTCGTGGGCAAAAGGGGGCTGGTACCTTTTGGGCGGGCTGGTTGGACATAAATGGGATTGGAACCAGAAGGAGCTTAATTGTTGCATCTGGAATGGCTCCTTGCCTGGGGCCTGGCTGAGGGCAGAGGCTTGGATATGTTGACAGAGGCCTAGAGACAGATGTCTACATTCAGGGGGTGCCTGGGTGGCTCAGCTCAATGTCTGCCTTCGGCTCAGGTCATGATCTCAGCGTTCTGGGATCAAGCCCCGCATTGGGCTCCCTGCTTAGGGAGGAGCCTTCTCCTTCCTCTCCCTCTGCCACTCCCCCTGCTTGCGCTCTCCTGCTCTCTGTCAAATAAAATCCTTAAAGTACGTTCAGAGCAAGGTTTTGTGATTCTGGGTCTGCCTCCGTTCTTGCCCCTCTAAGGGTGGTCTGTGAACACTATTAGCATCACCTGGGGACTTGTGGAAAGGCAGAATTTGGGGCCCCATCCCAGCTCTAATCTGCATTTTAAAATCTCCAGGTGGTTCAGGTGTGTTAAAGTGCACGGGGCCAGGAGATTTGCAGCAAGAAGGAATCACACCCCACCCTCTCCCTGTCCCCCACCAAGCAGGTCCGGGTGTGCTGTGGGAGGGAGTAAAAGGCTGGAGGTAGGAGGGGTGGGCTTCCTAGAGCTGGTGATCCTGGAGCAAATCCTTGAAGAACCAGCAGGTCCTGGCTGGACAAAAGGAGAGAGGTGGGTGTGGAGGGAGGAGACAAAGAGAGGACACTTTCTCCTGGAAGAATGGAGGGCCTGGGTGCCTATAAGAGGGGGGGGGTCAAGGAGGGAGGCCTCCTAACAATGAGTCACTAACAATGTGAAAAGGAGCCACGGAATGGACGGTCCATGTCAAGAAGACCCAGAGGAACAGCAGAACAGGGCCTGGAGGCAGAATCAGCCTGGCTCCCTGCCTCTGCTGGCCTGGCAGGTCACCCCATCTGTGAGGTACGCTGTCCAGAGACTGGAGTGTCTGATGGCCGCCTGGCTCATGCAGCAGGCCTCGGGGGGCCAGAGGGCCTGTGTCTCATCCCACCCAGCTCTATTCCTCACCGAGCCTGTTTCCTCCTCAGCATCATCACCTTTCAGATGGAGTACCTCACTCTTCAGGGTTCTTGGGAGGAGTAATGCGGTACTTGGGGTCCAATGAAGGGGCTCAGGACAAGTCTCCCCGAAGTGTGCGGCTCGGCCTTCAGCTCAAGGTAGGCCATGTGCCAATGGAAACCCAACAGCTCAAGAGAAATTTTTGTACCTCCCTTGACTAGAAGTATTGAATTTGGGGGAGAGTGTCTTTCCCAGAATGGGAGTTTTTCCCATAAATTTTATCTGAGTGACTCATGGTGAGGGGGGGCAAACATCTGATTTTTTTTTTTTTTAGATTTTTGTCAGCACAAGCATGGGAAGTGGCGGGCAGAGGGAGAAGCAAGCTCCCAGCTTAGCGAGGAGCCCCGGTGCTGGACTCAATCCCAGGACCCTGGGATCATGACCTGAGCAGAAGGCAGATGCTTAACTTACTGAGCCACCCAGGTGCCCCCAAACATCTGTGATTCTTGCCTTTTGAATTGCCTGCCTTACATGGCCTACCCCCTTTCTTAGCTCAGATTGGCCTTTATACTTCACATCAGCTTTGTCCTTGGAAACCGCACATACACGAATGGTTCATGACTACAAAATTCGATCTGATTTTTCTGTTAATCCGTCTCATGTCAACTTGTAATTTACCCACATGAGTTTGCACCTCGGGAAGTCAAACCGCACCAGCTGGAGCAAATACGGAGATCACGGGGAATGGCTTCCAATACACAGTGACTGCGATAGAAGGTTGGACGGGTTCCTTTTGTTTAGGGGTAGGCGGACTAGATGAGGAAGCCTTGTCTTCCCATGCAGAGGTGGGCATAAGGCGGTGCATGTGCCCGAAGGAAACATGCCTAGACCTACCTTGTAAGTTACATAAATGAGGCTGGGTGGAGATTTTTAGTGCTCTAATGAGGTAAAGGTGATTGTGGATCATTCCAGAGGTCACTCCGTGGTCCATCTGCCCAGGGGCAAGTCAGGTTTCCGCTCAGGGGTCTAGCTGGTGACAAAATTCTTAGACCAGCCAGAGAGACCTTCTGGAGGAGAGAGAATTTTCACAGCGTGTTTTGGGACAGAAGCGCTCCATAAGCTACGGGTACTTCCAGGACACACCACAGGGACTGTCCCCGCAACAACCACCCATCCTGTTATCTGCCCTCCTATTTCGGGGGCTTGCAACATCCTGGGAACTCCTCTCATTCAACTTCTGCTGTCCTCCGCGGGAACAGGAAGTGGCTGTATCTGGTGTGGGAAGGACGTGTGACTAGAATGTGACCCTGGATGTCAGCCCCAGCCGGTTCCAGATGGGCCTCTGCGCCGCGTGAAGCTGGCCTCCGGGCAGGGCCAGAGAGGCCGCCTCCAGCAGTGAGGGCAGAGGGCCCTGCCTTCCAGACTCCACTGGAAGTTTGGGGGAAGTGAGGGCGATAGCCAGCAGCTGAGGGTTGTCTGGATTTCCATTGCTTACAGCCACCTGTTTCCATGGTGTTTGGGGCAGCTTCCTATTACATGCTATGAAACTCTGGGTGGATCAGCACTTCGTGGGTTTTAAAACTTTGCCTTTGTGCTTCCTGGTGGCCAGGGGAAAAAAGGAGAGGAGGTGGTTAAAAAGGACAATGCGGGGCGGGGGGAGTAAAATCGTGATCACCCAAATACAAAATGAAAATGTGTCAGAGGTATTGTAACTCCTTCCTTGAGGGAAACCACAGGATGTTAGAACTGGTTCAAAGGAGAATCCGCAGACTTACATAAAGGTAATCAGGAATGCAGAAATGAATTTGCTGATAGATGCAAACTTGGCTTCCTCCAAAGGGCAGAAATCAATTTTATCTCCACAGACAGACGGGAATCCTTTGCAATCATTTGCATTACTACCGGCTTTCCATGATATACCGAGTTGCAAAATACGTTAGGGGTGTCTCGGCGGCTCAATCGGATAAGAGTCTGCCTTTGGCTCGGGTGGTGATATCGGGGTCCTGGGATCAAGCCTTGAGTTTGGCTCCCTTCGGAGCAGAGAGTCTGCTTCTCCCTCTCCCCCCGCCCTTCTCCTCCCGCCCCCTCCCCGTGCTTTCTCTCAAATCTTTTTTTTTTTTAAGATTTTATTTGAGGGAGTGGGAGAACACAAGTGGGGAGAGGGAGAAGCAGACTCCCCACTGAGTGGGGAGCCCGACATGGGGCTCAATCCTGGGACTCCAGGATCATGACCTGAGCCAAAGGCAGACGCCCAACCGACTGAGCCACCCAGGCGCCCCTCTCTCAAATCTTTAAAGAAAAAAAAAAAACTTAGTCAAAGACTAGGCAAGGCAGACTTTTATAGAACCAGATAATCTGGAAGGTTGCTAGAGGACATCCAGTTATCTTTTTGCCCATGTCTGAGACGCTTTTGCCTGATAGGTGTTAGATTTACCAGGTATTTTTAGCAAGAGATTCTAAGCTCCTAGGGACTAATGGAACTAAGGTTCAGGGGAAGGCTGGATACTACCAGGAAGAGAACTCTGTCTCTCGGGGGGCTTCTTGCCCTTAGCCTTTAGGCTAGGAAACCTGGCTTGTCCACACACCACACTGAGCCCTCTCTTGAGCAACCCCGGATCCCAAACTAGGATGCCAGAGTATTAACTTAGAGTGAGAACAACTGGGGTGGAGGGCATAGGTCAAGTGAGATTGCCTAGTGTTAAACTTCTTGGATGAATTAGCTGTGAGTACACATCAGTTATTTCAGACTTGTAGCAAGGGAACCAGCAAAAAGGACAAGCCAGTTCAAAACGTGTTCCAAGGGGCCGGGACTTACATAAGATAACGCTCTTAGGGGCTTCACTCCTGGGGCTGCAAAGCCATCATGCTTTTCTTGGCTGTGTAGGTCACACCTGGGTCCTGAGTGGGCACCGTTGCTCAGAGATGCCAGGTGCTGTCTATTAATCAGAAATAATGAGCAAGGCAGCTGTGGTTTCTAATCAGACAATCCCTCCAGAGCGTCAGATGGAGGCCAATTAGCGGAGGCACCAAGCAACAAAATTCTGCCTTTCCAAGCAAAACATCAGAAAGTGCTCGAGCCCCTTAGCAGAGATGCTGGGCCCCCGTGTCTAGCCTTTCCCCAAATTTACATTGATCTTTTCTTGCTCCCGGGTGAGCGGGGGCTGGTTCCAGGATCAGAACCTTCAGAAGCAGTAAACCCTGGCACCTGGAGTGGAGTCTAAGGACTTCTCGGAAAAAAATTAAGTTTCTTTGGCCACCACCATTCCCCATTCTGTGGCCAACAGCCACATTCTTTCTTGGGCCACGTCATTCATTCTCAGTTGCTAGGGAGCCTTCAGAGGCCTGAGGGCGGCACAAACTCCAGCCTTTTGAGACATTAAACAAAACAAAACAAATCAACAAAGCTCCCCTTCTGGGCAGAAGATTTTGTTAGGACAGAGGGCCAATGCCAGGAATGTGACAGTTCCTTTCACTCCTAAGAGCACTTCGTGCTGGGCATACCTAACCTGCCCTACTGTGTGTGTGTGTGTGTGTGTGTGTGTATGGGTGGGGGGGCATTCTCACATTTTTCAAACCAACAACACAAAGAGGTGCACGTTCTCTATGCTCTGCAAGTTCCTTTTTTTTTCCCCCCCAAAGATTTTATTCGAGAAAGACACAGCGAGAGAGGGAACACAAACAGGGGGAGGGGGAGAGGGAGAAGCAGGCTTCCCGCGGAGCAGGGAGCCCGATGTGGGGCTCGATCCCAGGACCCTGGGATCATGACCTGAGCAGAAGGCAGACGCTTAACGACTGAGCCACCCAGGTGCCCCGTGCTAGTTCCTTTTTTACTTAACGATAGATCTTGGCCACTGTTCCATTAGCTCCTGTGAATCTTCCTCTTTCTTCCTACTAGTGTGCCGAGGTCATTTAACCAGCTCCCTTCTGCTGGGCGGATGCTTCTGATTCTTTGTCACATACGTTGGTTTATTTTTTTTTAAAAAGATTTTGTTTATTCGACAGAGAGAGAGACAGAGGGGACACAAGCAGGGGGAGTGGGAGAGGGAGAAGCAGGCTCCCCTCCGAGCAGGGAGCCCGATGTGGGGCTCGATCCCAGGACCCTGGGATCATGACCTAAGCCGAAGGCAGACGCTTAAAGACTGAGCCACCCAGGCATCCCCATATATTGGTTTAAAGTTCAGTTTGCAAGTGATCGATCCTCTTTCCCTCCCTTCAGCTCCCTCAGGGGCATCCTGCTGCAGCCTCAGAGCACACCACACTCACTCTCTCCTGCCTAAAAATTTAAAGTCCATGCACCCCCCTTCTCCCTCTTGCTGCTGCCCTATTTCTCTTCTTTTCACGACCAAAACTCTTTATTTTTCCCAAATAAAAATAGTCTTTCTTTTCAGGTTATAAAAAAGGAAACTATTCATTGGGACACACTCAAATGATGCAAGAAGAGTACAAAGAAAGTGAAAATCACCTGCTATCCTGCTCGTCAGATGTTACTGTGTTGGCCAGTGTCCTTCCAGGCACACACAGCCACGGGCAACCTTATGTAAGTAGCCTCATTCCACACATGTGGGTTTGCCCTCTTCCACCCCATGCCTGGATGTGTGGAACACAAAGGTTGTTCTTGGAAGAGCGGTCTGCACTCCCAGACTGCACAACCTTCACAACCACAGGCATCTATGTGCATCTATGTGCTTGAGCCCCTGCTTCTCTATGGAAACCACTTCGGTCACCAGGGGCCTCCCTGTAGCGAAGTTGGAAGTCTGGGGCATTTCCTGAAGACTGCAAGATGAGAGAGCCCGGAACTGGGAGGCAGGGGCCCTGGGTTCTGGGATAGGCACCCCTCCCAGCAGACCTCTAGGAAGTGTCTGTTGGGCCTCTAGGAAGTGTCTGTCACCACTGAGCGCCACCTTCATGGGACACTCCTCTTGATTCTCTGCCACCATGCTCGCCCCGGGGCCCCCCAGTCCGGCCTCCTTTCCAGACACTTCTATCTCCTCTGTTCTTCAAAAGTCAGTGTTCCTTAGCCCTGGACTCCCCTTTTCTTATCTTCTGTGGTCTTTCCAGGTCATTTCAATCTCATTGCCTGTGACTCCCAAATCCCTACCTCTACCCAGATGTCTGGATTTGCTCGCCTCCCTACCTCACGCTCAACTTGTTGACTGAAATCCCCTCCTCCCCCCTTTCTAGTGTCTTCTACCTCATGGGAAGGCACTCCATGCACCCAGACTTCCAGGCTGTGTCCTACTTCCCACCTCTGTGAAACTTCTCCACCCTGGCCTTCCCCCTGGCTCCCACACTGGTCCCCAATCTGGGCAGCCCCATCAGGCCTCCCTCAGAGCTCCAGCTCCTTCTGCTTTCCGAGTTTAGATGTCCTACCCTTTGCAGAGCCTAGGTTCCAGAACCTTTCTAGCCCAGCCTGCCACCATTGTTCTGTTTGAGCCTGTAGGTATGTGTGAGTGCAGTGGAATTTTAGGGACAAAATCACTCAAGCATCTCACTGAGGAAAAAGGAAGCACTTAAGAGAACACCTTTTGAGGGTTGAAAGGCTTTTCTAATGCTTCAGACCGTTTTATCTGCACCACCCTCCCCGCCCCCACCACTCCCCAGCAAGGCCAGTCAGATGGGGCTGCTCAAGGCTGGAGTTAGACACCACCTTGATTTAAAGACCAGCTCTGCCAGGTCCCCGCTGTGTGACCTTAGACGCATCGCTTGAACTGTCTCAGTTCCTTAAAATGAGGATAATGAGGGGGCACCTGGCTGGCTCTTTCAGTACAGCATGAGACTCCTGATCTCAAGGTTGTGAGTTCAAGCCCCACGTTGGGCGTGGAGCCTACTTAAAAAAAAAATGGGGATGATGTTATTACCTACCTCATCGAGGGGATCTACTGTGAGGTGATGCGTGTCAAGTGCTTGGCACATACTAGGTTGTTGTAGGTGGTTTTGGCTAAGAATATTGAGATTCTGAGAGAAGAAGGGAAATGTCTCCTTCCTAATCTGTAGCCACTGCAGTTACCTAGTGTAAATCACAGCTTAGAAAGTCACTCTTCAGTTCTAGAAAGAGGGCTGGCGTCATTGGGAGAACCTAACTTTGGTGCCTCTCCAGACTCAGGGCCTATATCCTCTAAGTCAGGTTCTAGGTCATGAAGAGTCCTGGCCTAGGGTCCCAGAAGAGGGCCCACCACAGGCACTCCTTCCCCTGCTTCATCAACTTTGGGTTGATTAGTCCCCTTCTCTGGGCCTCAGCTTCCTTTTCTATAAAATAAAGTTTTGAACTGAATGATGGGGGGAAGCGGGAGGTGTCTCTTTCTTAAATCCCTGATGAAGTATGAGTGACATTAGATTATGTAAAGATACTCAACTAGAGTCCCAGATTCAGAGAACTCCGAACCCTGTGAAACTGTGTGCAAGATTGTATGTGTGACCTGCATGTACACGTGTGTGAACATTTCTATCTGAGCGTATTTTGGGAATAGCTTTCTTTAGCTCTGTAAAGGAGGTCTGTGATCCCAAAAGAATAATCACCAACCTGGTTCAGGCCTTCTATCTGGACTACAAGCAACAGCCTCCAAACTGGTCTCCCCACTCCTTTCTCTGTCCTTTAAACCTATTCTCCACCTGCCACAGGGTATCCTTCTAAAGTGCAATGCTGACTGTCATTCCCTTGCTTGAATCTTTCTACTGGCTCCCATTGCCTAAATTCCTTGCATGGGCATTTAAAGACAATCATAATCTTACCCAGTCTGCTCTCCACCCTAATCTATTTTCTCTGTCCTCAGCCCCTCCGTGTACCCTCTTGCCCTGGCCACAGGGAACGTTTCACTGCTTCCTGAATGCATCAGGCACTTTCACATCTCTCTTCCTTTGCAAAAGCTTCCCTGTACTCCATCTGGCAAACCCCTGTGTGAGCTTTAAAATCCAACTCAGGCGTCCGACCCCTTTGCGATGTCTCCCTGACACCTCCCCCAAATTAACCACACCCTCTGTGCTCCAAGTCCTGTGCTTAAACTCACGTTTATCCCCCTGTACTGTAATTACGTGTTTGAGGGTCTCCCCAAGCAGATATGAAGCTCTCCCAGGAGAGAAACCAAGTTTCTGACTCGCGTTTTAATCCCCAGTACCCAGCACAGGGCCTGGCACCACATATGTATGGGTAAACACGATCTAAAACGAGTCAGTAAGTAAATGAAGAAGTCAGTCAGTGAGTGAGCGGACTAAGAAGGAAGGATAGACAGACCCGAACAGGTGCGTGTCGGATTGGGTCCAGCCCCGCCCCCAACCCACGGAACTACATTTCCCAGAAGGCCCCGCGTCCTGGGCATGCGCACCGGAGTGCTAGGAAGCTGCGACGCGGAGTTTCACTCTGGCTATCTCCTCAGAGTCGGAGCTTCAGTCGGAGCGGTGCCCAGGCCGAGCCCGAGCTGTAGCCCGAGCGCGGCGGTGCCCTCAGCCTATCCCCTCGCCTTCCTCAGCTTCGGTGAGAGGGGCGGGCAGGCCACCTGTCTGTCGCCAGGGCTGGGGTCCCGGGGACGCGGGGGAGACCGAGCCCAGCTGGGACCGGAAGGGGGCGGGCGAGGGAGTGAGGGAGGGCTGGGCCGGGCCGGGGAAGAGCCCCGGGGTGAGGTCCAGGGGGATTGGGAGGACTGGCCGCCGGGCTGGGGCAGCCGCAGGCGGGAGTTGGGGAAATGGGACGCGCTGGCAGCTTGGGACAGGACTGGGTGCGAGGGTGAACGCCGGTGGAAGCCGAAGGGCTAGCAGGGGGAGGGGCGCAGACCCTGGGAGTTTGGGGCTGTCGCGAGGAGGGTACCCCTTCCCGCAGGACCCGGACGCGGCGGTGGGGATATTGCCACCGGGCTCCGTGGTTCGGGGTGTGGATTCGGCTGGGCTCTGCCTTCAGGTAGACGACTAGCTGGAGCCCGGCGCTGTACTTGGAGTTTGTCCCCTGACTCTGCTTCCCTCGCCTCAAGTAGGGGTCGCCCTCCAGGAAACTCCTGTTTCCTGGGGCCCTGGGTTACTTTTGAGGGGTGCATAATGTATGTTGAAGAGGATTTAGAAGACGCTCTTTTCTGAAGCTGTCCTTTCGTACCCCCCTCCCCCTCAAGCCAGCCTGGTTCCACTTCTCTACGTGCCAGTAACAATGGAAATAGTGTGTGCACAGGCGCTTGTACGTTAAGAATTAACTCAGAATATTTCTGCCCGCGATCCTAACTCTTCTAGAGTTCTATAAAGTGGACTTTCTAGTAGCCAAAATTAGGCTTTACCATCCGGGTAACTATAACTAGGTCTCTTGTTCACTCGCTGTGTGACCTTGGCCAAACTTTTACCCTCTCTGGTGTGCTAATTTTCGTGGTTATTTACACTGCAGACTGGCTTATGAAGTCCGGTTAGGCCTTTCCATGAAAGAGCTGAGGTGTTTTTTTTTTTTTTTTTCCCCCACCATCCCCTTGATTATTGAGCGGGTAGAGGGAGACTGTTGTACTTTCTGCCCTGCCCAGGCTGTTGGAAAATAAATCTGGTGATTTCCAGTCCCCAGCCGCAGCGCACAGACCCAACATCTGTGCATTCGTTTTCACTGACTGCCGTTTCTCCATTTAAAACCTGATCATCTTTTTCCTTGTTGGCGAAGGTGCCCTGGAATTTGCGTTGCTGAGTCAGCAAGCCTTTCCGATTTGCTCCGTTTTTGTTGTTTGCATTTTATATCAAGATGGGAACTCAAACAAGTCATTCCTCCTAAGGATCTAGTGTCTCCGTCAAGAAGGGACAGTTTGTGCCAGCTCTCCAGAGAGAAAAGGTAAGAGCTGCAGGGACTTCTCATTGCTGCCTTCTGGACTTGGTTTTCAGTAGCGGAGGTGGAGACTGGGGAGGGTGGAATTTAAGGTCTCCGGAATGAAAGTCAGCCTTGGAAGTCGATTGTTGATTGCCAACTGTCTCAAATAAAGTCAAGTGCTTTCTTGCCAAGGGCTTCTCCTGTTTAACCAGTCTTAGAGGATGCTTTTCACATGGTTTCCACTTAAGGCATGCTTTATGCGGTGAAGGACACAAGTCATGATTTCAGCATCTGTACTGGGAATTTTTATTTCTTTTGTTGCACGAACAAAACTGGGTGCCTTCTTTGTGTCAAGCCCCGTGCTCAGTGGTGGGGCACCCTGATGGGCAACAAGAGCTCTGTCACCTGGGAGCTTATCATTTGGTGGAACAGACAGACAAACCATAGATAGTGGCAAGGCATTGTCGGTGTGCTGTGTGTTGAGGCGGGAGGAATCGCAGGGCAGAGTCCCAGCCCCTTGCCCCCCAACCCCATTTGTGCAGGAAGGGGACGGAGGGAGGGTCAGCAAGCTTCTGGAAGAAGATAACTAAGGTAAGTTGTGAAGGGGTAGGACTTGAAAAGGAGGGGAGAAGCCGGGCAGAGGAGTCGGCATCTGCAGAGTCCAGAAGTTACCTGCTGCATCTGGGCCACTGTAAGTAGCTCTGTGTGACCGGGGCAGCAAGGGATGGGTGTGGGGTAGAGGAGGCTGGTGAGGTAGGCAGAGGGCTGAGTTTGGAGGGTTTTGTGGGCCATGCCAAGGCTCTAGGGAGCAGGATTTTAGCAGAAGAATTCCAGGAGGGCATTTTAAACGAGCACATTGGCTGGAAGTATGGGATGGATTAGACAGGATTATGCTCTTTGTGACTGTTCCCTTAGACCATGCCAGTTTCTGATTGGGGGGGGCGGTTAGACATGAGAATGTTGCCCCCAGTTTGCTCAGGGCCTCCTTAAAGAGATAGAGTGGACATAGAGAACTGTAAAGGGCAGACAAGGGCTGTGGAAGTTGCTAAGAGGGTGTTTTCTTTCGGTTGGGCACCTTGAGGCATCATGGAGGTGCTGTTTATTTTTTTTTATTTTTTATTTTTTTTAAAGATTTTATTTATTTATTTGACAGAGAGAGACACAGCGAGAGAGGGAACACAAGCAGGGGGAGTGGGAGAGGGAGAAGCAGGCTTCCCGCGGAGCAGGGAGCCCAATGTGGGGCTCAAGTCCTGGGATCATGACCTGAGCCGAAGGCAGACGCTTAATGACTGAGCCATCCAGGCGCCCCGGAGGTGCTGTTTAAACTGGGTCTTGAAAGTATGGGTAAGGTGAGGATGTGTGGCGAGGTGGGTGGGATTCTGCATGGAGGTGGGAAAACTGGATGTATATGGGGGGAGCAGTTGTCACTTAAACTCTTGCGTATGGGCTGGGGAAGGGGAAGAGGAAAAGAAGGTTGTTTTTTTTTTTTTTTTTACATATATATAAGATTTTATTTATTTATTTGACAGCTAGAGAGAGAGCACAAGTAGGGAGAGAGGCAGGCAGAGGGAGAGAGAGAAGCAGGCTCCCCACCCAGCAGGGAGCCCAATGTGGGGCTCGATCCCAGGGTCCCGGGATCATGACCCGAGCCGAAGGCAGCCACTTAACTGACTGAGCCACCCAGGCGCCCTGAGGAAAAGAAGGTATTGAAGGCAAGTGCGCTGGCAAATTCTGTTGATAGGGAGGGACCAGATTGTGATGGGTTTTCAATGTCAACCCAAGGAACTTGAAATGTATTCGGGAAGTATACTTTGGAAGGCTCAATCTTGCACGTGCCTTTCGGGTGGACCAGGAGAAACAGAGTTGGAGAAGCCAGTTGGAAGAGAATACTTACCAGGGTGAGAGGGGCACAAAGGTCCCAAGCGGATGCTGGCAGCCGGTCTGAGGAGGTGAGGAGGGAGGAGAAAGTGAGCCATGGCAGCTGCGTCGCTGTGGGGGGAAGGTGGTGAGGAGCTAGAAACCCAGGTTTTTCTCCTAAGTGCCTGGGGCCAGGGAATCCACGGGGGAAGCAGAATTAGGAAGGAAGGTGAGTCTGGATACAAACATATGGAAGGTGCCGAAGAGACCAAAAGGAATGGGGCCATGGGCCCCACAGAAACCATGTGCCAGGGCTAGTGCTTGGTGCTTGGGGTAAGACGTGTTTGTTTTAATGTTTACCTCGGGTAAACACAGAGCTAGGGTAATACTCATCACCGTTCGTGCGTGGCTTGCTTTTATTTATTGCCCAAGTGTTTTTTAATGAATGTCGTAAGCTCCTGCATTCCGGTCACCCAAAACAAAAGCTTGAAAGGAAAGTATACGTGTAATCATTTGGTCTTTCTCCCCATCCTGAGATAACTGTTATCCCCTCACTTTCATGTATTTTTATTGTACCTCTGTGTTTCTAAGGAAAGTAAAAAAATATTGCTAAGATTTATCCGTATTACTGCATGTCATCTGGTTCATTTGTTTTCACTGCTGAATAATCTGTGGAGTGAACACACCACAGTTCATGCATCTAATCTTCCACTGATGGGCACTTAGTTGTTTCCAGATTTCTGCCGTTGCAAATGTGCTGCTCTGGACATTTCCATACACATCTGTAGTACATGTGCAAGAGGTTTTCTTGGGTATGAACTTAGGGGTGATATTTTGCTGGGTTATAGGGTAAATAAAGGTGCCACTTTCATAGATATAGCCAGACTGTTTTCTGAAGTGGTTGTACCGGTGTATGGGACTTAGCTGCTCCACATTCTTGCCATCACTCACTATAGGCAGACCTTATTTTTGCCGATTGAATGGGTATAAAATGGGATCATTGGGATCGTGATTTCTGTGTTCCTGAGCCCTGACATTGAATATCTCTTCATAAGCTCGTTGGCATGTTTCCTGTGAAATACTTGTTCATGATTTTTGCCAACGTTTTATTATTTACTAATTGTAAGAGTTCTTTATAGATTCTTGATTTTTTTTTTTAAATATTTATTTATTTGACAGAGAGAGACATTGAGAGAGGGAACACAAGCAGGGACAGAGAGAGAGGGAGAAGCAGGCTTCCCGCTGGGCAGGGAGCCCGATGTGGGGCTCGATCCCAGGACTCTGGGATCATGACCCGAGCTGAAGGCAGACGCTCAACGACTGAGCCACCCAGGTGCCCCGTATAGATTCTTCATTTTTTTTTTTTAAAGATTTTATTTGTTTATTTGACAGAGAGTTAGCACAAGTAGGCAGAGAGGCAGGCAGAGAGAGAGAGGGAGAAGCAGGCTCCCCGCTGAGCAGGGAACCCGATGTGGGGCTCGATCCCAGGACCCTGGCATCATGACCTGAGCTGAAGGCAGCTGCTTAACCAACTGAGCCACCCAGGCGCCCTAGATTCTTGATTTTGATCCTTTGTTCATATTGTGAATATTTTCTTCTAGCTTATACTCTATTTAGGCCATCTTTGTTGAACCATTCTTAATTTTAACATAGTGAAATGTTGTTTTTTGTTGTTGTTTGTTGTTGATGTTGTTTTTTATAGTCAGTGTTCTATGTCTTGTTTAAAACATCTTTACCTGACCTCAGTCCTTGCCTTTAAGGAGCCTGTGCCCTAGTGGAGGGCCAGGTAGGTAATTTCACTTAGATGTTATGTGGACATTGATTATTAGAAGTGGCCACTTCTGCCTGTGGGTATCTGCCGAGGGCAGAGGCACTTCCCTACATTTTGAAAGAGAAATGGATTCAGAGAAGTATTTCTCACAGAGAAGTATTTCCAGGATGGTGGGAGCATGGTGGTGGGTGTTGGGGGAGCTGTAGACTAACCACTCCAGTTAGTTTGCACGTCGTCTGTGGCTGTTTTCACACTATCTGTGGCAGAGTTGCGTAGATGCTGCAGACACCCTCTGTTCTGCAAAGCCTAAAATATGTGCTCTTTTGGCCCCTTAGAGGAAAAGTTTGCTGACTCCTGCGGGGGGAGTCTGGTAACTGTGGTAACCTGACGAGTGTGTCCCAGCCACCACAGTGGTTCAACTAGTTGTTGCTGGATGGTTAATGAATCTCGGTCAGCGCTGCAAATGTTGCCAATTTTTCTGCTTTCCAGAAGCTGGAAATCTGGATTTTTTTTTTTAATGGTGAATATTCCAATTTTTAAACAACAGCTCAGTTAAAAAACAAAAACAAAAACGTAAAAACTGTGTTGGCCAGGAAAATCCTATCAGGCAGGCTGATGTGTCCAGCATCAGCATACTCCTTCTGTCTTAGACTCTGGAAACAGATTTGGGTTTCCTTAGACCTGTGGATTTTTGGGGCGCCTGGGTGGCCCAGTCGTTAAGCGTCTGCCTTTGGCTCAGGTCATGATCCCAGGGTCCTGGGATCGAGCCCCGCATCAGGCTCCCTGCTCAGCCGGGAGACTGCTTCTCCCTCTCCCCCTGCTTGTGGTCCCTCTCTGGCGATATCTCTCTCTGTCAAATAAATAAATAAAATCCTAAAAAAAAAAAAAAAAAGACCTGTGGATTCTCGGGCAGATTGCTTATCTTCTTTTGCCTCCTGTCCTCATCTGTAAAGTCAAGCGAAGACCCGCGCCCAGGACCGTGAGGCTTAAACATTTAAGAACCTGTGGAAGGTGCTCAGTGTGTGGTGCCTTATAAGCCCTTGGTTGGTGGCCATCGCTGTTACTGCTTCCACTGCTCCCCCATTTTGACCCCCCTGGGGAGGCCTGGGCACCAGAGCACGGTTGCTTCTGGCAGAGAAGGAGCAGCATAGCGGTTCTTGGTGCTGGTGGAGGAGGTTGCTTACAGGGAATCGAAGATTGCTGGGGCCTGCCCCTTGGCCACCCTGTGGCTTGCTGGCTATTTATTGAGAGCTCGAGCATGAGCACGAGCAGGGGGAGGGGCCGAGGGAGAGAGAGAATCCCGAGCAGGACCCCCCACCCCCCCCCACTTCAGCACAGAGCCTGAGGTGGGGCGCGATCTCATGACCCTGAGATCATGACCAGAGCTGAAATCAAG